GAAGGCAAAAATTGGAGGCAAGTAAAGCTCTACTGTAGAGGTTCTTACAGCTTAATGCTATTAAGTGACCACAACATATATCTAATATTCTTTGTCTTGATTTCAAGCTCCTAAGCAACCTGCTGATTCCTCATGTAATTTTCCTACAGAGAAAACCCCTGGTCAGAGAATCAGTATGCTATAGACTTGGCAAATATCTCAAAATATATTAATAAACTCGCATCATGATAAATTCATCAGTCACCTGTATCACTCTAAATCTTACAAACTCTAGTACAGTTAGCAAGATTGTGTTTCTAAGCCCATAAGCCTTAGGAGCCCTGTTTTTTAATAGAAAATTCATTAATAAATTTTATAATGAAGTCAGTTTTTTCCTTGACTAGAGCACTATTCATTTAAAGAGGCAACTCCTCCACATATACTCTTTTCTCCTCTACATGTACTCTATAATACACACACACACACACACACACACACATACTGAGGAATAGGGAAGTAGTAAAATGGAGTCACTATAGTCAAGCTGCTAAATTACTAAAATTAGATAGGTTGAGGTATGAGGAAATGATTCTACTTTGTTTTAACTAGCCTGGGAACTTAAACTTTTGAATTTACCAAACCTGTGACAATGCCTGAACATATATCAGACCTCCAGATAACCCTCTGATTACTCCATGAAGAACTCACGTATCCAGACCATCTTACATCCATTATCCAGAACACTGGATATGACCAAAACTCCTGGCACCCTTTCTCCAGACCACCTCGCATCCATCAACCAGACTATAACCATTTGACTGATAACCATCCTGGACCAATCTTAGGGCTAAGCGTGCAGGACTGAAGCACTTTTTACTTTACTATAAGAACTCTTAACTTTCCTTTCTTCTTTGGAACACTTCTGGGGTTTTGCCTAGTTGTGTTTCTGGCTTGCAAACCCTAAGATCCTTTATCATTTATTTCTAGTCAAAGCCTCCGGACTCTTGGAGTTCGTTTGACAATACTCCTATACCTAGCAGGATGAGGTATGCAAGAACATAGTAAAAATATTAGTGAATCCTATCTCATGAGGTAAGAACTACAACTCACTAGCAAGTGTTGCTCTCTTTTAAGTTTTGCTCTCTTTTCTTTTAAGAAAACATTCTAAAATGTTTTCATTAGAAAGCACCTTCTTCCATCTATTATCTTTTTTTGTAAACAACAGTTAAATATGCAATACCTTTGAGAATTCTGTGACATATTTTTCTTCCATTCATTCATCAAATATTAAGTTCATACTTGATGCCAGGCACTGTACTCAGAGCTGGAGATCACGAGCAAGAGCAAAAACTGGCAGTCACTGCTCTTGTGTGCTTAAGCTTCAGAAGCAAACACACTTTAATCAAATTATCACACAGACAACTGTAAAACTAAATTTGGAACTTATTAGCAAGTAAAGGTATATGGCACAATAAGAGTATATTTATAATAGGGGCATTTAATCAGATCAGGTAAACTGCTTTGAGAAAGCAAAATATGAGCTAAGATCTGCAGGAAGAGGAGTCAAAGATTGAGGCTAGAAAAGCCTTGATAAAAAACAACAAACAAAAAAACAGTACGAGAGATGCTGCATTCATATTTACCTTCTCCAGTTCTTCCATTCTCTCTTAAAATAAAATGCTCACCTGGCTTTTATACCTTTCCTCCACCAAAATTGTTTTCAAGATCCTTAATAACTTCCACATTGCTAAATGTAGTAGTCAATTATCAATCCTCATTTCACTTGACTGAGAGCAGCATTTAACATAATTTAGCATGACTTCCTCCTTAATCACTTTCACTTGGCTTCTAGGACAAATGGGTTTGCCTTTGTACACTGGCCACTCCTGTACAGTCACCTTTGTAGATAACTCAAAAATCAACCCAAACTCAATGCCTCTTTTTGATACCAACCATTCTCAGGCTTTAACTGCTGTCAAAACACTACTATAATTTCTCATTCCAAATTATATCTACTGCCATATCTTTCCTCTCATCTCTGGACTCGTTTACCCAATTGTCTTACTCCACACCTCTACTTGAATGTCTTAGAGGCACCTCAAACCTAACATGGGCAAACTAAACTCCTGGTTATTCCTCTTAACTCCAATACGCAAATCTGGAGACTTTCCCATGACACTAAATGGCAATTCCATCCTTCTAGTTGCTCAGGCTAAAAATTGCAGTCATCTTTGACTCTTTTACTCTATATCTTATATCCAATCTGTACTATCATAATACATCCAGACTCTGGCCTCTTCCCACTGCCTCTATTGTTATCACCATGGTCCAAGCTACCACTATCATCTCTCACCTGGATTATTATTTTAGCTTCCTAACCATTGTCTCCGCTTCCGTCCTTGCTTCCCCATGAACTATGCTCAACACAACTTAAAAGAAGTAATCATTTAAAAATACCAGATCGTGCAACTCATCTACTCAAAATTCTCCAATGGCTTCCTATCTCAATCAAAAAGTCAAAGTTCTTTCAATCACCTACATGACTGCCTTCCTCTGTGACCTCATGTTATCCTCTTACCCTGCATTTCTGCTCCAGCCATACCACTATTTCTCAAATGAGAGGGCCCACAGACCTTTGCTCCTTCCCATAGGTCTTTGCAGTGGCTTAGCTGTTCTCTTCACACGAACATTCTTCATCCAGGCTTCTGAAGGGCTTACTCTTCCTACTTCAGATGCCCTCAAATGTCTCCTTTTCAATTAGGTCTTCTCTGATCACCTTATTTAAAAATGTACCTTGCCGCCTCCCTCACTTAGCACTCCAATTCCCCTTACGAATTGATTATTTTCCTCTATGCATTTGTCTTTATTTACTATTCTACATATTTATTGTCTATCCCTTGTTAGTAGAATGCAAGCTCTATGAGAGTAGGCATTTTGTATATTGTGTTCGGTGGTATATCTTCAATGTTCCATTATACAGTAGTACTCAACAGGTATTTGTTGAGTGAATTGATAAAAGGGAATATGAGACTCAGTTACTGAAGAAAGATCTGTATGGCTGAAGCAGAGATAGGTGGAGTGTGGTACACTAAGTGAGGCTGGAGAGGTAGAAAGAGAACAGTAGGCTTAAAAAGAAATTTTGCCTGTAAGGACAGCGAGACAACACTGAATGGTTTTAAGAGAAAATCTGACTGGATATGCATTTTGAAAAGATCCATCTGGCTGCTATATGGACAACTAATGGAGAAAGGCCAGAGTGGATAATCAGTATTGCAATCGTCTTGGCAAGAGATTATGGCAGTTTGGAAAAGACTGTGCTTATGTAAATGAAGGGAAAAGGATGAATTTGAGGGATATTTGGGAGATAAGACTGATAAAACTTAGTAATAATTTAGCTATAGAAATAATTTGGCTATAGAGGTATGAAGGACAGGAAATCAAAAATAATGCTTAGGTTTCAAAATTTCACAATTGGATGGTATTGTCTTTAACTGAAACAGGGAACACTGAAAAAGAATCAGATTCGTAGGCAATAACCACACATTTGGTTTTAGTCATGTTGAATTTGAGGTGCTTTCGAAATATCCAAGAACAAATATCAAGGACACGGATATACAAAAGCTTAAGTGAAGCTGGATGGAGCTAAACATTTCAGAGTAATAGGTGGTAGTGAAAGTATGGGTATGGACGAGATCAGATTCAACTACGCAGTAAAAAGGAGACCTAGACTTATCCCATATGGACTAGACAAAGGAGGATGAGCCCAAAAAGGAGACAAAAAAGGAATGGCTTTTTTTTTTTTTTGCTTTTTTATGAAATCATAGTCATAAGAAGTTCTTGTTTTTAAAATTCTGATTTAAACTGGTAGCATTAGAATATAGCAAGGCTTTCCAAATTGGACCAATTCTTTGAAACTATAATTCTGTTCAAGGATAGGTCACTTCCAGAAACTATCTGGAAAATTCACAGCACCTGTCTCTTTGCAGCTTCAAAGTACATCAATACACAAAAAGTTATCCCTCAAAATATATATGATTTGGCTTATTGCAGTTTCCTGAAAG